GATGCAGAAAATGAAAATGTTGTCACAGAAATTTAATATTTAATTCATTCTTAAATATCAGGAGAATAAAAATGATAGAACAAAAATGTTCCCAAACATAAAAATTGAATATTTAATTAATTTTTAAATATTTCGCATCAAAAATAAAAATATTCTCACACCTAGAAATTGAACATTTAATTTATTCTTGAATACCTGGCGTAAAAAATACAAATTTCCAATGATTTCTTCACATATATTCATTAATATAAAATCAATTTAAAAATACTCCAAGAAGTAACTAAGGTATATTTGATTTCACAAATAAAATTGAATTTTATCGAACTTTATGTTCACCAAAGAATAGTTTTCCTAGAAAAATTTGATTCGAATTTAAAAAAAGAAGATTACTTTATAATTTAAAAATACTTCAAGGAGTTCATTCAATCACCTTGAAACGACTATATTCAGACAAGGTTCATATACTTAAAGCACTTCAGTTAAAAAGAATTATGAAGAGTGTACTAGACGAGATCCTGTCTGCAGATCGGTACGGTGTTCTTTCGAAAGTGATTGTACTGGATCCAATGCGGAAATATAGCTTTTTTTATAATTAACTTTGGCGAGATCGGTTGGTTACATAACTGTTCGGATGCAGTCGATTTAATCTCTCCTTAAAAAAAAACGAATCGCGCGAGTAATCGTATATGGAACTACATAATCCAATTTCATATTGACGTTATGTGACTCGCTATGAAGCTATAAATTGGGAAGACAATGCAAAAAGATGTCATTTTAATAGCAAATAAATTAGCGTTTCAAATGTACTTCTCGCTGTGTCAAACGTAACACACGATAGAAAATTTTAAATAAACCAGATGCAAAAATATTCTTTTCTATTATAATGCAAATTCACGATGACTTGGTACAACCCGTGACGCAAGTACTGTAAAAACAGTCCAATCATATCCTACATGTAATTTTCTAAAACTTGTAATATACGATAAAACGTTAATAAAATTCTGTTATAAGAAATTTTTCAATCAATTATATATATATTTCTATTTTACAAAATTACCTCTGAAGATGTGAACTATATAATAATTAAATAAAATTCACAGAGAGAGAGAGAGAGAGAGAGAGAGAGAGAGAGAGAGCTCCAGACATCCATTTACAAATGAAAGTTCTCATCATGATTTCACTTCCTTATTGAATATTTATTTTACTTCGTTATGAAAACAATAATCCGCTTCAAATTCGCGAAGATGCACATGGTAATTAATAAACTGTTAACTAAGATATTCGGAAGTACTGCAATAATTACGATAATCATTTTAATTCGCTGGTTACGAGCATTATTTAATGTCGGGGAAATGACACGGAATTAGTGACGCGTGTTTATGTGGGCCCTCGTTTTATCCTTATTGGGGCCCATTGCTCCGGAGGCTCCCATTTAGGAGAGGTTGCGTTGCTGGCTTTCTTCGCGGCCTGGTATAATATACGAATCTAATTCCGAGTGCGATTTATGTGGATGAAAGTCACTGCACGTCCGAGGTGTCCATTCTGTGTATCAATTACGGTTCGTCGGTTAGGTTTGTCTGACTGCGTTTAGGAGCTTTATTTTCCTTTCCTTTTACACCGTTCAGTATACAGTTAGCTCGGAATAGATCCAGTCTACAGAGCGAGG